AGAAGGGGCAGTGACAGGCAAGGACAGATGTATCAGTCATCTGCCTGAGTGTCTAGAGAACAGTGCAGTCATCGATGCCCAGAGGAAGTAGAACAAGAAGCCAGAGGTATGTGTGGGAGGGTCTTCTATCTATCTGTTGCTTTCATTGGTTAATTAATAAAGAAAACTGCTTGGCCTGATAAGTCTGAACATAGGTAGGTGGAGTAGACAGAACAGAATGCTGGGAAGAAGGGAAGTGAGGCAGAAAGCCATGGAGCCGGCCGCCAGGTCAGACATGCTGAATCTTTCCCGGTAAGCCACTACCTCATGGTGCTACACAGATTATTAGAAATGGGTTAATCAAGATGTGAGAGTTAGCCAAGAAGAGGCTGGATATAATGGGCCAGGCAGTATTTAAAAGAATACAGTTTGTGTGTTGTTATTTCGGGTGTAAAGCTAGCGGTGAGGGAGCCGGGCGGGACGAAAAGCAGGCCTGTCCGCAGCTCCTTCTACAGGTATGAATGCATGTGTGCCCATGCACGTGTGTGTGTGCACTATGCTGAGTACATGTACATGCATTATACACACAGCCACTCCTGAGTTCTGTGCACAGTCTCTGCATGGAAGTATGTTGTGCTGTGTGCATGTGTGCACACTTTCCTGCACACGTATATGGATTACAAGTACTGAGTGCATGTTTGGCTGCCCTGTGTGTTCTGATGGCTGGGTGTGCATGTGGGGGTTGAGCACTCTTCCAAATGAGCCCCCACCTCGGCCCCTACAGATGCACGTGTTCTTTCCTAGTCTGCCCATGCATGGAGAAAGGAAATGATAGCGGAAGTTAACTCAGCAGCAGCAGCAGGGGCAGTATTACATAAGTAGCATGGCTCCTTAGGGAGTGAACCACAAGTACAGCCAACAGTGCAAGCAGAGGACAACGAAGCTATTGGTCTGAGCCTGGATGGACAATGTTGCTCATGGGAGGGGGAAATCTACCTTTAGGAAAAAATGCAAATAGCTTTACCAGCCTGTGAATCATGGGTCAAAGGTCAGGAGTCAGGGGTTCAAACACAGGGTAGCAGATATGTAACACACTAAAATGGACCTTTCCTGAATCTTCCTTTGAGCGGTGATGACTATGGTTGCTTCTAGAATTTGAGTAATGGCTTAACAGGAAGACAAACAAATTTCCTTGGGACACAGATGTGGCCCTTCCATCAGTGTTCACCTCAGACCTCTCATTTGTCCCCAGTTCCCAGGGTGCAGAGGTTGTGGGGAGGGCAGGTCCTTTATCTGACCCAAGCTGACAGAGTGGCTGCAAGTATCTGACAATGTCTGCTTCCTCTCCCCGGTGTCTCCCTCTGCATGGCTTTGTTATCCGAGGCAGAAACTGGAATCTGTGACTCTGGCTGACCCAGGTTCCCCAGAGCTCGCCTGCCTGCTACCTTTTAGCCCTTTCTACTGAAAATTCAGTTAGCAGAACTTAGCTGAGCGCTCATTCCCACTCTCAGGAAGACCAAAGGGCTCCTTAACTCCCTCCCCTCTCCCCCCTGCAGTGGATGACGCACAAGGCCAGCACCATTGAACCATTGATGCTGAGTCAAAGGGGCACCCTTGTCTTTCCTCTCCTGTGGTAAAAGGTGACTCTGAGCTAGAGGACACTGCACTGATGGAATGGGGAGGGGACCTGGGATGTCTGTCAGGAAAGGGTCCGTCCAGGGAGAATGGGGGTGCAGCATGGTCACAGGTACTGGTCCCACTCTAGGGCCACAAGCAGACTGCTCAGCTGTCACCAGGCAGAGGCCACCCAGCTATCAAGTGTCTGCACATCTATTTTGCTTTAAGGCACAAAACTTCAAAAACAATCATTTTATGAGCCATAAAACAGATTGGTAGCTTTGCTCATTAAGGTTGACAACAATGAGTCCTAAAGTGTTTTGTTTGTTTGTAGACAGGGTCTTGTGTAGCCCAAGCTAGCCTCAAACTCATTAGTGGTCAAAGATATCCTTGAACTTCTGTGCCTATCACCCCCAAGTGCTGTGATTACAGGGGTGCAATACCAACCCAGTTTGTGCAGAGCTGCGAATTGAACCCAGGGCTTCATCTACTAGAGGCAAGCATTCTACCCACCAAACCACATCACCAGACCCTAGAATGTCTTATTGGTATGAGCTATAGTGTTTCGTGTTAGTTCCGGAGTTTCTGTGTAGAATAAGACCACACACTTTGTAGAACAAGACCTAGGATGAATCAAGTTCATCTCCATCTACAGGAAAAGGACTAAAAAAACGTTCCCTCTTTCAAACGGCTATGATAACATGGCGGCCTCTGTTATGTCCACATGCTTTTATTTTCCCATCAGCAAATACACTTCTCTTGTTCTCAAAGCTTGTGGGAACCCTATTTTTATACCTGGGCCACAAAATCAAATGCAATTTATGAATTCTTTGTAGATGAATGTTATTTTAAATCATGCTAAAAAAAACAATTGAGAGAAACATTAAGAAATAAGAATTAAAATGAAAAATAATAAAGACACAAGATTATAAAGAAGTAAAACTAATTATTCAGACAGGTTGTAGACTAGCCTAAGGAATTCACATATACACACCTATATGCATACACACTTACATGCACACAAATACCATAATTGTACCATAAACACACACGCACACACAAAACCACACTTGAACCACAGTCACACGCTCACATACATACACATAAGAGAACAAACACACATATACAGATACACACACATTGATGCATACATACAGAAGCACACAGGTCCACACATGCAATAGACACACACGAACCACAGATGCATGCACACACACACACACACATGAACACACAGATACACCCACACACAGAGACACATACATTCAGGTGCACACACAGACAAGCACCCACCTAACTAGAACTGTTAACCTAGTTTGGACCCCAGGAGCTAGCTATAGAACACATTGTATTTCTGAATCTCTGCAATGAGCAATCAAAAGTGGAAGCAGCTCCAGCTCGACCCTGTGGAAGAGGTTTCCTTCCTTAGGAATAAACTCACTGAGAAGCGCAAGGCTGGAAAAGACAGCACTGCCCTGAGCAGTCAAAGCAGCTGGGGCTATTCGCAAAAATAGGGTCAACACAGGGGCTCCCAGCAGCACAGACTGAAGGCTCTCTTTCACAGGCCCAGAGGAAACAGCAAAGGGATTACTAAAAACCCTCACACAGACGTGTAAAGGGTCCAGAATGCTCCCCAAACAACCTTAAAACAAACAAAGGGAAAACGGTGGAGACTTTTCTTTCCCAGTTCTAAATCTTGCTCTAAAGCAGGGACATGAACAATGTCCTAAGCCGACTCGGGGGTAAACAGACGTCAGAAGCCGCACTAAGCCAATTCTACAGTCAATTTTCAGCAAAGATTATAAAAGACAATACAATGGGGAAAAGGAAATGTCACGCTTAAGAAAGGGAAAGGGGCAGGTGAGATGGCTCAGCTGATAAAATGGGATTGCTGCCAAGCCCAACAGCCTGAGGTCAATCTCTAGAACCCACATGAGAGAAGGAGAGAACCAACTCCCGAACAAAAGTTGCCCTTTGACCTCTCATACAAGTCTTGGCATGCATACGTGCACCCCACACACAAATAAATAAATGTAAAAAAAAAAAGTATACAAATAAAACAACCCCACTAATTTAGATCCTATTGTAGATTTAAAAACTTAACCCAGGTAAGCTAAATACGAAACATCAGAGAAAAACCCAAAACATTTAGAAGAAAGTTGTTACAAACCATTGAGCAAAACGTTTTAGCTATGACTCCGAGCTGTGGCCAGAGAGCAAGCGTACAGACTGGACTGCGTTAATAGTGAAACCTCGAGGCTCCACATGCTGCCAGCGAAACAGGAAAGGAGGTCTTGCCTACAGGAGCACATGATCATGACAATGACAAAGGTAGCCTGATTTAAATAGACATTTCTCCAAAGACCATCTAGAAACGGCCAATTATTCAACACTGTTAACTGTGAGGGAAGGAGAAATAGAACCCACAACCAGATGGCTGCAACCAAATGAATGGGGGGGCGCGCAGCCAGGCACTTTGGACTCCCCATCAGGCGTGTGCAACAGTCCAGCCAGTTTAGAAGGAAGTCTCTCCTTAAAAGCTTAACGTGATTTTACCATACAACCCAGCAACTCTACTCTGGGGTGTATATCTAAGGAAAATGAATGGCTGTACAGGTATACACACACATACACACACACACACACAGACGGGGGTGAGAGGGAGGGGGAGGGAGGGAGAGAGATGGGGGGGTTGTAAATATTCACGGATCACAGCTACTTTGCTCAGAATGGACAAAAAAGTAGAGAGAATCCAACGGTCTTCTACCTCCTGCATGGATAAACAAAGTGTGGCGTGTCCACACACACCCCGAAACGGGATGAAGTGCTAGCATCGCAGCAGCAGATAAATAAACGCAAGCCTCGTTGTCAGGGAAAGTGGCCAGACACGGAGATCACAGGCTCCATGCAGAGCAAGCCTCCCTCTCTGAGAAACAGCCAGCAAGTCTAAAGCTCAGACACAAAGAGCAAGCCTGGTGCTTCATGAGGCGTTCTCAACAAGAAGAGGAGTGGCTCCAGTAGGAGGAGTATCTCTGAGGCACAGGAGTGTCCATCTGGTGTGGACAGGCAGAAACACCTTGAGTAATGTCTCCCTCTGAGAGAGGCAGCTCTGGGAACCTGCTGGGGAGGGACCGAACCTCTCCTCACTTTTCCCTGCAGGTTGTGGTGTTACACTCCACAAACACCCACCAATGACCTTAAAGCTTAAACCATCTGTTTTCAAATAACGCATTACAGGGGAAAATACACAGGAGTGGAGCGAATCACTAACCACGTGACACTAATCAGTCCCCCTCTTCAGCTCTACATGGTACACAGCACCAAGGGCTCTACGCAGAGGTCACTGTGACATCACCAGCTCTCACTGCTGCCATGACAGTACCCGATGAAGAAGCAGAACTCACCGATTTTCTGATTGAAAATCTTGTCAAAGGTTATTTCGTTTCTTTCTGCAAGATACCTCTGCATCACGCTCCGGATACTGCAAGATAAGAGTGGCTGTTAGGGCATGGGTGCACAGTGCCCTGCAGACGCTCCAGTGTTTGAGGAAGCTGGGGACACTCTAGAGATGGGACCTCGCTGGAGGAAGCAGATGCTGGGAGCATCACGTACTGCCTGATCTCAGGGTTTTTCTTTGTTTGTTTGTTTGTTGACCTAGATGTGAGCAAGCAGCCTCAGACTCTTAACAACCACAGCTACACCTTTCCTGCCACCATGCCTGCCGACCACGACAGACTGAACCCTTGTCTTAGTCAGAGTTCCTATTGCTATGATGAACACCATGACCAAAAGCAAGTTGGAAAGGAAAGAATTTATTTGGCTTATGCTTCCACATCGTAGTGGTGATGGTTTGAGTAAGAACAGACCCTACAGACTCAGATTTGAATGAGTAGGGGTTGGTATTGTAAGGTGTGGCCTTGTTCGAGGAAGTGTGCAACTGGGAGTGGCCTTTGAGGTTTCAGAAGCTCCAAGCCAGGCCTAGTCTGTCTCTCTCCTCCCATCTCTTTCTGCTGCCTATGGATCCAGTTGTGGAATTCTCTGTACCTTCTCCGGCATTATGTCTGCCTGTATACCACCATGCTTCCTGTCACGACCATAATGAACGAAACCTCTGAATCTGTAAGCCAGCCCAAATTAAATGTTTTTCTTTATAAATGTTACTGTGCTCACTGTGTCTCTTCACAGCACTAGAACTGTAACTAAGACAGTAGCCCATCACTGAAGGAAGTCAAGACAGGAACTCAAACAGGGCAGGAACCTGGAGACAAGAGCTGACGCAGAGGCCATGCTGGTTACTGGCTTGGTCCTCTTGGCTTGCTCAACCTGTTTTTTATAGAACCCAGGACCACCAGCCCAGGGATGCCCCACATACAATGGGCTGGGCCCTCCTCCATCAACCACTCAGTAAGAAAATGTCCTACAGCTGAATCTTATGGAGGCCTTTCCTCAGCGGAGTTTCCCCACCTAGCTTGTGTCAAGTTGACACGAAACTAGCCAGCACAACCCTCAAACTATAAATCAACATAAACCCTTCCCCTTCCTTGCTGTACATTTAGTCACAGAGACCCAAAAGAAGAGAATTGCTGCTGGGGATGGAGATTATGGCTCTGACCACCTGACCATGTGGCTCTCGGGCTGATGAACCACTTTGCAGAGGAATTTGGAAGAGTTTGTACCTAAGAACTGAAGAGCCCTTAAATGCTATTTGCAGACCTTAATGGGTCATTCCAGAAGATGTTCAGAAGGCCAGAATGCCCAAACCATGCAAATGGTGGAGGCCACGCCTAGCAGGTCCACGGGGATAAGAGCTGCCTTGGGGGCCAGACTACAATCATTTGCATTACATTCTGGCAGAGTGTGGCTGTCTTCTTCCTGTGTCCCCCAATCTTGAGTGAGGCTGAGCTACAATGGGACGAGGAGAAGAGACCCCTCAGGGTAGCATGGCGTTCAGGCCGGGATGTGGCTGGGACAGAGAGCAGAGAGATGAATGTGTGAAAGGTGGGCAGCTTTTCAAGGAACAGAGTGAGCAGCAAAGCTGCGGTTAAGTCGCTCAGAGGATGTTGACAAGTCAAGGCCTCGTAACTGTGATTAATGAAAGAGCCCCGGACTCAGAGCTGGAACAGTAGGAAGAATCGCAGGGTGTTGCGATACAAGGGGTGTGGTCGAGCAAAGAGCACCCCCCCCCAGGCATCTAAGAAGAATGCTTTCTCATTTTCAGCCACAGAGGGCAGCTGTGGTCCACAGGGGTGGTGTGGGGTGAGAAAGGGTGGGAATGGGATGGGGTGGGCTAGGGAGGAGTAGGGGTGGCAGGCCACATCTCAGCTGGAACAGAATGTGTGGCTATCCACATGGTGTTGGTTTCGCAAGAATAAACATGCAATGCCTGCACCCAGGTTCCAGAACCCTGAACCCTGGTCATGGGTAGCAGGGAACTTTTGAGCAGGTAAAGTCTAGGATGCAATGGGGAACCCAGGATATTGAGAGGACCCAGAAACAGAAGTCTGACAAAACACTCAGTAGAGCAAGCCCAAGAGCACGGTCACAGGTGCCACAGGCAACAGAGCTGAGGCTATGGATATCCAAAATGCTGGAGCCCATAAGATGCCACCAAGAGCCCCAATCCTGAACCTACCCTGCTGGTTGCTCCTGCTTTGCTTGGTCTCTCCTCTCTAGGCCTCGACTCACCCCAGCCCTTTGGAACGGGAATATCTACTCAACACACATATGCTGGAAGTAAGGAACATATTTTTAATGTTGCATGGGCTTATAGTTTAACAGTTTGTCTTCAGTCCAGGAAGAGACTTCGAACTTTTTGTTTTTTAAGATAGGGTCTTGGAACTCTCTGTGTACATCAAGATGGCCTTGAACTCAAAGAGGTCTACCTGCCTCTGCCTCCCAAGTGCTGGGGTTAAAGGTGTGAGCCGCCCAGTCCTGGCTGAGACTCTGGACTTTTGAAAACAGTGTGGGAACAAGAAGCCTTTTGAAATGAGACTGGACACAGCTGCATCACGAGATGGCCGCGAGCCTGCGGGGTCCCAGGAAGAAAGCTACGTTTAGGCGTAAAATGCCCCCCCCCCCCAGAATCCTATCTTTGAACTCTTGGTTGCAGCTGTAGTGCTGTTTGGGGACTGTGTGGGTCCTTTAGGAGGTGGGGCACAGTCGAAGGAAGTGTGGCACTAGAGTATGGGTCATGAGGTTCACAGTCAGAACCCACTTCCTGCCCCATCTCTACTTCCTGATCCGTCCAGATGTAAGCAAGCAGATTCGTGTTCCTGCAGTCACATCCAGAAGCCTCCTGCCGCCCTGCCGTCCCCACCATGACAGACTGCACCCTCAAACAGTAAGAGGAAGGAAGCCTTCCTCCTTCAGCTTGTTCTGCCAGGCATTCGGGCACGACAAGAGGAAGAGCAGTCGATACAGTGGCATAGTTTAAAGACCACATTAAAAGTGCAGCGTGAGTAACCCTGATCCACAGAAGAAGAGATGGTCACTGCCACTGAGGACATCAGCTGTATGAGAGATTCCTCCCACTGCTGTCCAGGACTAAAGGAACCGTCCAGGGACTGACAGCAGGCAAGACTCCAGCCACCACCCCCTCCCAGGACCCGGGTCAACTCTGTATGTGGAGAATCCATTTCAGAAGATGCCAAAACGCACCCTCAGTATCCCCTCTCTCTAAAGTATGTATGAGAATAGGAGCACGCACATACACACTTACATACCCCACAGCCTCATTCATGAACACATGTATTCTTCACAGCCCCAGGCATGCACACATACCCCACACACAGCCCCATGCATGCATACATACCCTATAAGTCTCATGCATGCACACACATATTCCTCACACAGCCCCATGCATACACATATATCCAACATGTAGCCTCATGCCTCCACACTCCCATGTATGCATATTCATGTTCCTCATACAGCTCCCATGCATGCACATATATCCCACACACAGTCCTATGCATGCATACATACCCCACAATTTCATGCATGCATACATACATGCATACCCCCCACAGATCCATACATTCACACACATACTCTCCACACAGTCCCACACAGGCACACACACCCCCAGATATGCACATAAATGCCACATATATATTCCATGTATAGCCCCAGGTATGCATACATAACCCAAACAGTTTCATGCATGCAGACATACCCCACACATGGCACCATGCATGTACATAATACTCCCCCATACAGTTTCATGCATGTACACATACTCTGCACACAGCCCCAGATATGCACACATACCAAATGCATACCCCCATACACTACCAGGCATGCTTCCTGAATTCCACAGAAATTCTGCTATCAATCTCTTCCTTAAACAAAAGCAAAAGACCCCTCCCAGGTACAGAATTAGTGTTTTGAGATAATTTTCATATGCCACCAATTTTTAAAGTGATTAAAAGGGAAGAGCCTAGTTACAATAAAATGAAAAGGCTGAAATGCCTTGAAATTTAAAACCTTCCAAAATGTGCACAAAGCATTTATGGAGAAAATTATAAATCACATAGAGAGATTAAGGAGTGGGGATACGCACCACGGTTGTGAACAGAAAGACTGACATTAAGAACATTCAAAGATCTGCCTCATTTCATTATCAAGTCGGTCTGAGTCCATCAGGACCCCAGGGGGAATTCCACAGAATGCAGAAACAAGAAACAATTTATATGAAACAACACAAAATCTAGGGCAGCCAGTACATTTCTGAAAGAAGAGAAGTAAGATATCAGGGCTAATTATGAAAGGAACACCATCAGGACACAAGAAAGCGCTGGATGCAGAAGAAGCGGTGAGCTCAGAAAGTAAACAACACACGCACACCCTGAACTATGATGTGGGACAGAGACAGGAGATGGAGAAGGGGGCTTTTCAGCTTGTGAGCCCCAGAGCACTGATCCAAATGGAATGAAATCTAGTCTGCTGGTCACTGACAGTGAGTGAACAAGCTACTTCCATGCTTTGCATTCATTTAGTGTGTGTCAGCATGCAGAGTGCAAGTATGGAGGTCAGAAGACGTGTGGGGCTTAGTTCTCTTCTGCCTGTGGATTTGGGGCACAAATTCCTACTGTCAGGCTTCTCATCAATCGCCTCTACCCACTGAGCTCCTTGATAGTCAGAATTACTTTTTTTAATCTGTTTAAAGGCAAACCAAGGTATAATTCATTTTTAATTTTTTGGCATATATCATATTTTAATTAGGGTGTCTATTACTGTGAAGAAATACCATAATCATTGCAACTCTTATAAAGAAAAACATATAATTGGGGCTGGCTTACAGTTTCAGAGGTTTATCCCTGGCTGGAAGCAAGGCAGCAGGCAGACAGACATGGCATTGGAGGCAGAGCTGAGAGTTCTACATCTTGAGCCTCAGGTAACAGGAAGTGAACTGAGTCCCACACTGGGTGTAGTTTGAGCATATGAGACTTCAAAGCCTGCCCCCCAGAGTGACATACTTCC